GCCATTTTACAGGTTAATAAGGTTATTAATTACACGCCCATGCATGAGAATAGAATTCTGAAACTCCACTACTGATCTAAGTATGCGGAAATGCCCAGAGATAAGCAAAAAAAGACTACGCGGTGATGTTTCAGCTACTATAGGGCGGTTAGACACTCTCCCTAACTAATTATCTACTCTTGGTGATAGTTATTATTATTTAATTGGATGGAAGCTCTTACTGTACATGTTGTACATGTTGATTTGTGTTTTCAGCTTTATGTTCTTTTTTTGTACATGTGCATGAAGTTAATGTCATTTCTGTTATGTACCAATTTGGATGTGATAACTGATAATTATAAATAACTGATTCAACTTCAGTGAATATGAACACGTGCAAGTGATTTCCATTCTTTGCTGTACAATTAGTGACTTTAGGGAAGTTTCTAATGTATTGTGTAAGTAAATGATAATTGAAGTCCAATAGCTTTGTCATTTGACTAGTGATTATGGTGTTTTTTTACTAATAGGAAGTGTTGGATAGATGTACATGTACATGTAGATGTAGGGTTTAGTGGCTTATGCAATACTTTATTGGTTAGCATCAACTTGTTTACTTCTTTGAGTTCTTTCATGATATTGCATCATCGATTGATAAATTTAGAATAATATAATAGTGGGTATATGTACTTATGTATAACTATATTCATGGTACGTGTATTAATCGTGACCTTAAAGGAATTTGGGTAACCACCTCCTTCATTGTTGAGTGGGTATCGGGGCTTTAATTAGAGTAACGTGTCTGTACTTTTGTCTATCGCTTTAACCTTTTGAGGAAAGTTTATTAAATCAATAGTAAGTTCCGAGTCCCTACCTGTATTGTTGTATGTAGTGTATGTATATGTATTGTGTATGTATTGTAGTGTAGTGAGAGGGTTTGTGTCTTTGTGGTATATACTGCATTTACTCTTATGGGTGCTGTTTTTATTTTTATGATGTTCATAATTGACCACAGGATTTTAATTACGTATTATTATCAGTGCTGTTTGGGGGAGTGTTTGTAATTAAGAAGTCACAATGTCTAGTCTTTTAGTCTTGTACCCCACCCTATTTTTAGTAACATGTTATTATGGTTCAACCACTTTATAGTAAATGTACTTTGAATTAAAAGTTAATTACTTTAATTAGTTGTGAACTTCAATCTAAGTTTGCTCACATGTTTATGAATTGTGAAAGATTTTGATGAATAAGGCTTTATCAAAATGCTTGTTTCCTTTTATTATCTGAGTGATCAAGAATTTTTAACATATGGCAATACATAAATTTGTGAAATAGTTCGATTATTGTATCTCACTGCCTGTAGAGATGGCACTACTGACGTAACAAGGACTATGCACTTTGGGAATCCCACGGACAAGCAAAAGGTAGGAAGTACACATGTACTACACGTACATGTACATGTACACATACATGTATATGTACATGTACATGTACACATACATGTATATTCATGTTCATGTTATGATGTACATACTCTATGTAATGTATTAATTGTTTCCATGAGTCTCTCACTTGCACTATATTAGGAATGCTTCACTCGTGTTCTTAAAGGTAACATTGCATTGTGTACTGCCGTGTTCCCTGAGAAAACCCCTGGTCAGTTAATCCAGTTTAAAACCCTCACTCTACTACTTATTGATGATAACCTACTTTAGTATTAATTAATCAATTAATAATTATATCAATTATAGGTCCAGCTCTTGATGCTTTTGCTCGTCTGCCGTTATGGAAGGCGGGGCTCAACTATCGTCATGGAACTGGTCATGGTGTTGGAGCATTTCTTAATGTACATGAAGGTATGGGCGTGATTTAATGAGGTGTGGGCGGGGAGGGAGAGTTTTGTTTGATTCTAGGTCCCCATGGAATTGGAGGGTCCCGTAACTATAGTGAGCCGTTATATGGAGGAATGTTTGTATCTGATGGTAAGCGTGTGTGTGTGTGTGTGTGTGTGTGTGTGTTTGGTTTGAAATGACACCATCATTTCCTACAGAATTAAGATATTTTAATACACATACGGTGCATGTATATCTTGTGTTTCTGTGGTGCTTTATTTCTTATGCATGTAGTTCACTCTTAATTTTTTGCCTTCTTTGTCTTTTCATTAAAATATCTTCTCTTATCCTCTCAGAGCCAGGATATTACGAAGACGGCGAGTTTGGGATCAGAATTGAAAACATAGTCCTTATCAAACCAGTTGAAACTAAAGTAAAGGAACTAATCCATTACTTATTAATCTAATCACAACCTAATGTCCCATACACATCGCTAAATATATGTGTACTATCAATTTATTTATAGTGATAATGCATGCATGTATGTACAGTGTACATGTGTATGAAAATGGATAACTTATCCTCTTTCTTTCCTTATCTTTTGTACACCAGATTGCTAGACATAAGTGTACTATATCAATTTCAGTGATAATGTATGCATGTACGTGTGTGTGTGTATGTACATGTATGAAAATGAATAAGTTATCCTCTTTCTTTCTTTATTACAGTATCAGTTTGGTGGATCGCCCTACCTTACTATGGAGCCCGTTACCTTGGTACATTGCACCATTATTTATTCATTCATTTATTTATTTATTATTTTATTTATCCATTTATTTATTTTATTTATCCATTTATTTATTTATTCATTTAATTATTTATTTATTTATTATTAGGTTCCTATACAGCTAAAGATGATAGCCCCTGAGCTCCTCACTGAAGATGAAGTGTCTTGGTTGAATGATTATCACACTCAAGTTCGTGACACCCTTTCTCCTGTCCTCATAGATCAAGGAAGGACTGAAGCCCACCAATGGTTGATTAATGCTACACAGCTGCTGGGATGAATGAGGAATGTGGAGCAAAGGACTACACAGTTTTATAAACTATTTTTTGTACTTTTTTGTTACATGATAAAGTTATGAAAAATAATAATTAAATACAGTTAATTAATTAGGTAACCACGCCCATTTATATAGGTGTGGCCAAAGTATAATTTCAAGTTCAGTTTTTACACGTTGACGGTTCTGTTTCCTCTTTTTGTCCAACAAAATTCAATGGATCTTGTCCAAGACTACGTTAAACCTTTAAAAGAGTTTGCCAAGGACTCCATTAGACTAGTGAAAAGATGTACAAAGCCTGATCTGAAAGGTACAGAGCTTTAAATTCAAAAGTTTCAAATTCCGTTTTTTTTCTTTTTAGAGTTTCAGAAGATAGCCTTTGCAACTGCTATAGGGTTTGCCATAATGGGCTTCATTGGATTCTTTGTTAAGCTAATTCATATTCCAATTAACAACATATTGGTGTAAGTTTTAAAGCCTTTTGTTTTGTTGTCTGTTTCATAATGAAATCTTTTTTTCCTTTGTAGTGGTCGCTGAGTTCCAAGATATTACCTCATTCTCACCTGTTATGATAATTACATAAACCAGTAATTATTGTCTTATTTGTCTCTTTTAATAATAAAGAAATAAGCAACCAATTTAAACTTTAAAAGTATTCTTTGTTATACGCCATTTTGTCATGGGTGGGGTTCCTAGGAAATTAGGAGTCCACGTGGTGGTAGAGACTAGAGAACAGAAAAGGTTTTGAGGAATGGTAAGTTTGGCATCACATCATTTAAAACAACAGGAGACCGTTATCTCCTAGTTTCTGGTAATGGTTGTATTATCTGAAAAATTATACTTTAGATTAATATTTTATGGTCAATTGTAATCAGAACTAGCTCAAAAGTGTGTTAAAAAAACTATCATTGATTATAAACAGAGTAAAAAGAAAGAGAAGAAACAGAAGGCGGAAGAAGCCAATGAAGAGGAGGAGTTGAAGCCAGGTGCCATATACCTCAGTCACATACCTCACGGGTTCTACGAGAGAGAAATGAAAAGTTATTTTACTCAGTTTGGTGAAGTTACGAATCTGAAACTGATTAGGAGCAAAAGAGTGAGAGAAATTATAATTAGAATACACCTGGTCCATGTATCTTGTACATGTATATTATAATTACTTTATTAAGGACACCATTGGGCCCACACTACCTGTCCTTAATACATGTACAGTGTAGCCTCTTTATTAAGGACACCATTGGGCCCACACTACCTGTCCTTAATACATGTACAGTGTAGCCTCTTTATTAAGGACACCATTGGGCCCACACTACCTGTCCTTAATACATGTACAGTGTAGCCTCTTTATTAAGGACACCATTGGGCCCACACTACCTGTCTTTAATGCAGAAGTGTCCTCATTTCAGAAGTACTCTTGTATAGGCTTGCATCAATTAGGCATTACCAAATGTCCTCATTATAATAAGATTGTATGGTGTCCTTATTATCCTTATTATGGAGGTTAAACTGTGTGTTAAAGTTTAAGTGCATGTATATATACATACAATGTACATGTCATGTGAATATCCTTAATAATGAATCCCCTCATTTCCTCTGTACTCTGTTTCCTTCAGACCGGTCGCTCAAGAGGTTTTGCTTTCATTGAATTTGCTACTTCCGTTGCTGCAAAGGAAGCAGCTGAGGCTCATAACAATTACCTCTTGTTTGAGAAAGTAATGAAATGTGAGGAATATTGAAGGGGAAGATATATTTTGACATCTTTTGCTCCACTGTTTTCTCCTCTAGGTCGTTACATTGATCCAGCTACACTCAAGCCCAACACATTTAGACAGTTTACGTTAAAGAAAAGAGTCAAACCAGTGAAAAAGGTGAGACTATGAATGTTACTAGCAAATTATGTGTAAAGGAAACGTAATTTTGTATGTGTATCAGAAAATTTAATAAAAATAATGCTGAATTTTCCCTATCAAAAATTATAAAAGGTCAAAAAAATTTCACTTTTCATTTTTGGCAAATTTGGCCAAAATCCCTGTACTATAGTACAGGGACTTTAACCAGATTTTAGAGCAACTTTAAAAATTCGTAAAAAAATTCAAACTTGATCGGAATCAGCTCAAACTTTCTACACAACATAAGTACATGTATATGCATGAGAAAACATAATAAAAATTAAGAATTCTCACCTTTTCATTTTTGGCAAAATTTGGCCAAAATCCCTGTACTATAGTACAGGGACTTTGGCCCAATTTTTGAGCAACTTTAAAAATTCGTAAAAAAATTCAAACTTGATCGGAATCAGCTCAAAATTTTAAAGCAGCATCAGGACATTCATATGTACATGTATAAGAAAAATCTCTCTCCTTGCCATTTTAATAAGTATCAAGTACTATAATAGTCCATAAAACTTTCTGCATACATGCCATACTTCTCTCTAAACGCCTACAATAATGAAGCACTATGGTGCAATGGACTCGCCTGCTGGAATTCACCTGAGTGATATGTATTACTTGTACTGTGATATTTTAAGCAATTTGAAAAAAAATTATTATTATGGACTGCATAGTTATAATGATAATTAAAATAAGCTATGGGTGTGGTCAACAACTAACTAGCTAAATCATGGCACATGGGTAGGAGAAAGAAGAAAAGCTGAAATTTATTTTAGCATCTGAAGCTCTATTCCAAGAAAGAGTTAGCACAGAAAATTTTTCTAGATATTTAAAAGAGACTGAGAGAGTTTGGTTGCTCCTGCTTTCCCCAGTGCCGCCTGAAAAATTCTCCAAGAGGCTAAATCACAAAGTTTGAGCAACTGTAACTCACAAACAACGAAGTTAGGACAAAATCGTTCTTTTTGTTTTTCGTTAGATGGGATTTTCTACCTCTGAAGCAAATCTCGGCCCTGTAGAGTGAAACACGAGCTCTCACCTGGAGAGAGGTCCCCTGGTTTAGCAGTTCACAGCTTTTGGTGCCACGGGATGCTACAAGAGCATAATTAGATGAAAGAAAGCAACTTTATCTGTTGCTAGAAGAAGAAATAGAGCTCTAGACTGCTCAAACAAAAAGATAATTTTTTTTACAAATCAATTAAATTGTGTGGACAGAATGACAGAATGACAACCCAACTGCTTAGTACCCGCCTACGCGAGTCCAAAAAATGATTAACTATATACTGTAGTAATGTTAATGGTGATAATACAATAATTGGTGACCCAAATAGTATATGTACATGTAGAAGAGACATGTGTATATTGCCCTCTTCTTTCTCTGCCTCCTTCTCTAGCCTAAGACTCAAGCTGAGATACAGAGTTATGTCAAAGGTGTGCTAGAGCGGGAAAGCAAAAGAAGAGATCGTCTCAAATCCCTCGGGATTGAGTACGAGTTTCCAGGATACTCCGGCTGCATAGAGACTAAAGAGTATAAGCTAGAAACGCCAAAGCACACAATATTCACTGATGGAGATGAACAGTGAATTAGCAGACAAGAAAATAACATCAAAAATAATAATATTAATAATAATTGTAACAGTGATTTTAATGCTATTCCGATGGACTATTGTTCAGATTTGTGTTCAGGTGTTATTTGCTGGAGCAAATTTCGATTTTCTTGGACGTGCATTTACTGACGGGCCTACAAGAATTAATTAATGTTAAAGGAAAGTGTGGGTGTGGCTTACTTCGTCCTCCAGGTGGAAGGGGTGAGGCTTGTGTGGTCTTTGTATCAAGAGCAGTAGAAGCACTATCATTAGTATCACTATTAACAACATGTATACAATCATTTATTGTATTATTTATACACCCCATACCTTTGGTATTTCTTTCTTCTATTTACTGGTACCTACATGTACACAAATACAGTAGTACATTAAAGTATATACTATTATACTAGATAAACCTCTACCTCTCTTTCTCAACAAAACAAGTTGTTTGTGGCTGACGTGTTTACCTTTTTATTCGTTTCGGTTTGACTTTCAGTTGATACAGGCCCACTGGATGGACTTTGATCATCACTGACACTTTCTGTAGTAACTCCTTCAGTTGGACTGGTTTCAGACTCTTCAGTGGGAAGAGCTTGTTCAGTGGGAGGGGCTTGTTCAGTGGGAGGAGCTTCTTCAGTGGGAGGAGCTTCTTCAGTGTCAGTGGTGGGGGCATTCAATTCGTTATTTGGTTCTTGTGATTCCTCTTCTATCGTCTGTACCTCTTCCTCCTCCTCCTCCTTCCCTTCCTCTTTTATTGTCTCTTCTTTCTCTTCCTTTTCTTCTTTCACTCTGTCGTCCTTTCTCTCTTCTTCCTTCAATTGGTTTTGCGTTCCTCCTGTCAATAATTTTGTTCTCTTTGGCGCAACCGGTTTCTCCACCACGACAACAGCAGGCTCCTCCTCCTTCCTTTGAATGGTAGGCGTGGTCTGTTTCCGTGGTAACGGTACAGGGCTAGGCTCGCTAGTAGTAGCAGGAGGAGGAGGAGACTTTGATAGTGGGCCACTCTGTGGTCTCGGAGGTGGGACCTTCTTTCCAGTAGCTGCTGCCGGAGAGAGTTTAGGAGGAGCAGGACGAGGGGGAGGTGCTTGTTTGGGTTTCATAGCTCCGTCTTCTTTTTGCTGCTTTTTCTTGCGAGGAGGAGGAACGGGAAGTTCTTCAGCCTCTGAATCATCGGAATCCTCGGTCTCTGTACTGTCGTTATCATCGCCATCTTCCTTCCCTCCCTCCTCCTCTCTCGGCTTACTATCTACAGGTGGACCTACAACTATAGTGAACAAGATAACCACAATTGTAAAGCAACAACTTGTGAATTGTATACACACAGGAATGGGACAAGATCACTGTATTACAAAAAAACATGTGCTATGTACATGCAATTCATGTTAAATACATGTGCTGTGTGCATGCAATTCATGTTAAATACATGCACAATTGTATGTATACAGTAGATATAAAGGGCATATGTCATACACTATTAAAATGTACATGTATTTCTAATCCTTAGTGGATTGAGTGTCATTTCTCTAAAATATCAAATATCGCTTGTACTCAACACCAAAAACAAGCCCACACACACATGTACTGTACATGAATACAGATAATATCCATTTGTCCATACATAGTCATCTTCACTATATAAACTTATACTAACCTTTAGTACTATCAAGTGCATCATTCTCTCCTCCCACACATAATACCAGTGGCTTGTTACACTGGTGACAAACACGTTCAGTTTTACCACTAGGCTTTGCACCCGATAGCTGCGCTATATCTGCTTTATGAGGTGAGCATTGGGAGCAGACGATACGCCCACACATTCTGCAGTGGTGCTTTCTAACGAAAGCTGAGAACTTTTGTTTGCAGAGCATGCATTGATTAGTGACTGAATCAGGTACCCATACTGCCTTATAGAGCATTGCTGTTGTGTCTTCAGCATCTGGAGAAAAAGAAAGATTATACAATACATAATGTAATATGGAGAAAAGGAAGGAAAAAAAATAACCATCAAAACATATACATGTGCAAATAGGAAAATTAAAATGTAGAAGTTAAACTGAAAGTAAGTTTAGCTTGCCCATCATGACAACCATCAATAGCCATACAATTCATGCACATGTACAATAAATGGTACTTCATGATAAATACACACATAATGTAAAAAGACAATGTGCATTGTTCTAAAGGTTGTCAACAAATCCACTGCTGAAACCTTTAAACTATTAGAATAATGCTGGTGATAGAGTTTAGTATCAACATTGAATGTCCTAATAATTGATTGTTTGGATATGAGGTTAGTTTTTCATTCCAGTTTAATGGATGTTATTATTAGTGTTGCAAACACAATCAACCGAAATATCATAAAACTAAAAGCTTTCTGTTATCTATGCCTTGCCTTTGTTTAGTTTATTTATTTGCTTAGTGAGATTAGCTATCCAGTTGGTCTTGTCAGCTTTTGTTAGTGCAAAGACGTGAAATGATTTATCAGCATGATTGATCTGAAAGGCATTATCAGGGTCTAGAAAAAAAAGAGAAAAATAGATGAAAAGAATTAAGAAAAAATTGACAAATAAATAAACAAGAAAATACAATAGACTTAAAAGAAATAGAATGTAGTACCTAGTTCTTCCTTTCCTCCTCCCTCTCCTACAGTTTCCAGCTCCACCTGAGGCATATAGTGACATTTTGAAGACACAGTCATACTGCTAATAGGGAGGATGTGTTGATTGCTATAAAGACCACGACTGAGTATGGAGCCATAGACTAGGATATCATTGAAGAGAAAGAACTGACGTTTCTTTGGCCCTTTTCGACAAATCTTCCAGAGGCTACCTTCCCTGATAAAAAGTCGACCAGGAACTAGTAGAACCTGTTAAGAAAATGAAGGATGCACTTGCAAATGTGTTCCAAAGTAAACTAAATATTATCCTATCCATTGTACAATTTCTTTCATATAGACATTACTGTATTGTTCTATAGACAAGAGTTACAAGCACCCTACCTCTCCCCTTGTAAAGTGATTCTGTATATCTGTTATCTTCTCTATGTTGAAACTGGACTGAGCTTGAGCAGCCTCAGTCTACAGAGAAAAAAAACAAAGCATGGACATTTTATCACATCATGTCCTTACCCCTGAGACCCTCTTGAGATCTGAGCTAGCAGTTACTGTAGGCTTTCTCTTGAAAATATTACCGGCCATGTCAATCTTGTATGCTTTAGAAGCTAATGATGAAGTAGTTAGTTAAGACACGCCCATTATATGCGTGACAAAGCTCTCTCTGTGTCTCTTTCTTTCTCAGTCCCAAAGCTTTCTCTTTGATATTTACATCTTTCATAACCCTCGGCTCCCTCTTCTCTCTCCCTCTCTCTCATGGCCGCCACAGAGAGCGACAAGCCTTTTGTTTGTAATTACCCCGGCTGTGGACAGGTGAGTCCCCCTCCTATATTCTGTGTGAGTGTCAGAGCGATGCTGTCAGTATGATGTCATTTTGAGCTGTACCTAAAAAAGTCTCCCCTGGCTGGTCTATTGTGTCAAATTGACATCATAGGCATCTTTTAATCGAGTCTTTTCCCTCCATCTCTTTCTCTTCTCCCTCTCTCCCTCCAGCAATTCACAAATAACGACCATCTTGCTATTCACAAGACTAAGCACGAGCTTTCTCTCAAACTCAATAAAGGAGATATACAGCTAATTGGTAAGGGAAGAGAAGAACAGAGAGAGCATTATTTAAAATATCAATATACATGTATACTGTATTGGTAAGGAAAGAGAGAGAGAGAGAGAGATGGTGTGTGTGTGTGTGTGATGTGGGGTCAGTGATATGGTCTTGTGAGTATTGACCTCATGATACTAATTATTATTTAAAATTAAAATACTACAAAATGTTGACATCTTGTACGTATGACACTGTATCCTCCTCTACCAACTTCCCTCTTCTTTCCCCCTCTTCTCTCCCTCCCTTTCTCTCTCTCTCAGATCAAACTCCTACTCCGACTCGGTTTCTACGTAACTGTGAGGAGGCTGGTCTCTTTCAAGAGCTTGAAGCAAATCCGTTTGAACACGTAAGCCTTCAAGCCATACTAACGCTCCTCCTCTTGTGTTGAATGGTTTGAATTTGATGAATGCTGTCACAGAAACACAGTGTTATTGGTAGTATATGTAAATTGTACATGTGTATATGTAGATACATGTACATGTGTATAATGTCACTCAACTGTATAGCTATAGTGATTACTCTCTCCTTTCTCTTATCTCAGGATTTCAAACAAGCAACTCAAAATAACGAGAAAGAGAAGGTACACATATTCAGTTACCATGGTGATGTTATTCATGTTTTGTGTTATTCGATAGGCAAAGTTACAAATTGATGGAGTTCAAAAGGTCTTGCCACCTGCTATTCCTGTAGCTCCTCCTCCTAGCCTAGCTAATCCTCAAAAAGCTGTGAGTGTTTTTCATTTCTTTTGAATATTACTCTCTCCCCCCCCCTCTCTCTCTCCCCCCTCTCTCTCTCCCCCTCCCTCTCTCCCTCTCTCTCTCTCCCCCTCCCTTCCTCTCTCTTTTCTCAGGTTCCCCTTGCCACAGTCCCAGCTCATATTGGTACTGCTACAGCACTCACTAAACAAAAGTTGCTGGCTTCAATTCAAAATAAGAATGTCGTTGAGGCAAATCAGAAAAAGAATACTGAGGTATTAGCTCAAGCTCTTAAAGCTGTCATTGAGGTACTGCATTGGTCACTCACTGTCTGTTATAAGCATGTGTAAATATTTTGAATTCCGTAAAAATTGATTATTTATTTAATTTTTAAAATGTTATTTTTGAAATGCTGGATTATTTTTTATAACTTTTTAGAGTAACAGTGAAAGTGGATCCAGCTCTGATGGTTTTGCTGTACCACAGGATGCTCCCAGGAGGTATTTCCATTGTCATAAACCTCAGAATAATTTGAAATGGATACTCCCTCCCCTCTCTCTCTCTCCTTCCCTTCCTCCCTAGAAGAGGTAGGAAGCCTGATGATGAAGACCCAGAGACAAAGCGTCAGAAATTCTTAGAGCGGAACAGAGCAGCTGCCAGTCGCTGTAGGGCCCGTAAAAAGCACTGGGTGGATACACTGGATAAGAAAGCAAAGGAGCTGGAGATGCTGAATACCAGCTTACAGCAAGAGGTCATCTTATTGAGGGCTGAGGTCCAGCAGCTTAAGTCAATCCTGTTGGCTCATAAGGACTGTCCATTGATGGCAAAACCAGGTACGTCATGTACATGTAGCATATACCAGTGCTTCTAATTGTGGGGATTAAAATCTGCAATCACTAAGAGAGAATTCTCCATTTAAAAAAATATTATGTCTGATACATATCCACACACACATCAATCGTACATGAAATAATTCATACATTAATATCAATCGGCATGATATCATTATGAAAAAACTTAACTACTCATCACAATAATCGCAAATATTACTTTTATCAATTTGTTCCTTGTGAGCTCATTATGTTTTTCCTTTATACAGATGAGCCACCAGTCCCAGCTCCTTCAAGTGGCCACACTGTAGGGGTTACCCTCCTGTCCTCTTTCTCCTCTCTCTCTCCTCTTGTCAGCAGCCCACTGGCTGGGAGTAACCTTCTCACGTCTCCTCTCTTCCTACCGAGCCTCACCATAGCTCCGAACAGTAACGATATATCAAAGAGCATTGAGATATCAACATCGGAACTGAATCCGCATCAAGTTGAATGAGTTGGTGTCAGGACTGATTCACGCAGTGCACAAAAGAGATTGTTACAATATATTATTAATACATGAGCGAATGAATGATGGGACATTTTAACTGTTTTGCACACTACTTGTATTAACAATAGATGATAACAATAGCAATAGTAATTATTATTACTATTGTTGTTGTTGTTGTTATTTTTATTTAACATCATGGTATTAGGTTTTCCTTAAATTACTAATGCATTGGGAAAATTTATTTTAGTGGGTATATAGCATTATAATAAAATTATTATAACAATGTTCCCAAGAACAATCATTCAAAAAGGTAGAAAAATTTTATAAATATTGCCCCCAAAATATAAAATACACAATAATAATAATTCAAGAGTCACATATAAAGCTATGCACACAGAAGCATTATGCTTCCTAAGGTAGAAGATTAGCACAACCGAATATGTTCTGTGGATCGACTTGTCTCTTCACAGCATACAACATATCAATACCAGTGGGAGTTAGAGTGTCTTTAATCCACTTCTTACGTATTTTACCAACTAAGAGAGAGAGAGGAAAGAGTTGCATTTAAATGTGCAGAATAAACTGCAATAACAACAGCAACTAAAATAGCTTGAAACAAGGCAGGACTCATGCAGTACAGCAATGACTAACCTCCATGATGATGTGACAGACTTCCACCATTGGCTAAGACCTCATCCCTAGCAGATGACTATAATAATTGATAAAAAAGATTTAAAATTAAAAAAAATTAAGTTTCTGTAGATACATTTATATACTTGTTTATTGATAAACATAACATTTGAACTAATCCAAAAGATTTAAAAATTTAAAAATTAAGTTGCTATATAAAGTATGTTCCATGTCCATTGCTCTGCTTACTTCAATCGTATGGAATAGTTTTACAGGGTCCATCCCGACCTCAAGGTAAGAGAAGGCAAGATAAAAGTAGACACAAGCTCCTTCATCGTAGACTTGAGTTACCCGGCAGCTGATGAGTGGTGGACGAATGATACCATTATCAGTGCACAGCTGGGAGATCCTCTCTTTAACATTGCGACACATGTCAACAACTCTGAGGCATCAAAAACACAATTAAGTACATTATTATTATTATTATTATTATTATTATTATTATTAACATAATATGCTAATAGTTGGATTTAGTGTAGTGGAAAAAATAGTTTTAGATTATTGACATAATTTGACCTGCTCCAAGGTATTGAAGTTTCAAATGATTCTGATAGGTAGCCATAGTCAAACGCCATATCCTAAAGGAGAAAAATAACTTTTTAAGTAACATTTTATTTTCTCTCTTTCTCTCTCTTTCTCTATCCTTTGTTCTATCATCTTTTCTTTTCCTTACCCTGATGTAAGCAATCACAAAGGTCATCATGTAGCCACGGCGACCATTCTCTTCGCCTCCAGACAGGCCACTGTAGGTAAAAAATTTTACATAAAATTAAAGAAATTCATTTTGCATATATTTAATAAAGTATTGCACTACAACTGGTTACTTGTATTTGGAAGCAATATCAATCAATCTCTTTTCTTGTAGCTTTACTTCCTAAGTACATGTACATTAATAACAATAAAATATTCTCTCTCTGAACGTACTTCAGGAGTTCCTTCCATTAGTAATGTGCAGGCGGCCATCTTGTCAGGATCAAATCCTTTAAACTGAATAATAAAAGAAAGACATGATGATACACCAGCTGAAGGATCAAATAAATTTGCAATTTTTTCAATTATTTGATCACAGCATTAGTACAACAATTAGGGTCTTACTTTAGTAACGTATATCTTCTTAATTGAGTCAATAATTGAAGTTGTAAATGATGGGGTTGGCTTTAAAATCTGACCTTTAAAAGAAAGAGTGGAAGAGCATCAAGTGGCTAAAAAACTATTAACCAATTTATTAATAGTTCAGTAAATCCACGTCCTCATAATTATTAACAAGTTAAAATTTCCCTCTCCCCATAAAAGCAAAAGTTTGACCCAACAAACAAAAAGGAGTATTAACTAACCAATCTGAAACTGCAAGTTATCCATTAGTCTAATGGAGGCAGGAGCACAGCGTTGCTTAGCAACATCCCTCATATACTCCACTCCTAGCTCAAAGGTCGGAAAGACAATGGACCCATAGCGGCGAACCTGAGGGAGTGGCCTAATTCTCATAGTCACCTCAGTAATGACACCAAGTGTCCCTGTAGGTAATGGACATGTATAGTAAAGGTCAATGTGTACGTACATACATGTACATTGTACATGTACATTTATATATTTCAAAGGTCACAAAGAAGAGAAGGAGTGAGAGAGGAGAAATATCATATTATTAAAAGAAGAGGAAGTACCTTCTGATCCTAGTATGAAATGCTGCAAATCGGGTCCCAGCGAATTTCTCGGTCCCTTTAATATTAAGAGGTAATTAATTCATGGATGAAAATATTGACAATTATTTATAATTTTTGCTCAAAAATTCTACACAACATAACAACAGGTATAATGGCATACCATGTATCAGAAATGGATAATTCTCAGCAATACATCTCAGTGATTGATTACACATTAATGTCCTTATGCTGTGTAAAACGTGTGAGCTGTTTCTGATACATAATTTTTTAAATCATGAGCTTATTTTCAAAATTTAGACCTTTTCTTAAAATGGCCATAACTCAAAAAATATTTGTCGGAATCAGCTCAAACTTTCTACACAGCATAAGGACATCAATATATATCAGAAAATGTAATAAAAATTTGGGGTGATTTCGGGGCCATTTTTCGGAAAAAACCATGGGCTATAGCCTTGGGTATTTTTCAAAATTTTGACGTTTTCTTGAAAAGGCCATAACTCAAAAATTATTTGTCGGAATCAGCTCAAACTTTCTACACAGCATAAGTATATCAATATGTATCAGAAAATGTAATAAAAATGGGGGGTGATTTCGGAGCCATTTTTCAGAAAAAACCATGGGCTATAGCCTTGGGTATTTTTCAAAATTTTGGCATTTTCTTAAAATGGCCGTAACTTGAAAATTATTTGTTGGAATCAGCTCAAACTTTCTACACAGCATAAGGACATCAATATGTATCAGAAAATGTAATAAAAATGGGGGGTGATTTCGGAGCCATTTTTCGGAAGAAACCATGGGCTATATATATAGCCTTGGGCATTTTTCAAAATTTTGATGTTTTCTTAAAATGGCCATAACTCGAAAATTATTTGTCAGAATTAGCTCAAACTTTTTACACAGCATAAGTATATCAATATGTATCAGAAAATGTAATAAAAATGGGGGGTGATTTCGGAGCCATTTTTCAGAAAAAACCATGGGCTATAGCCTTGGGTATTTTTCAAAATTTTGACGTTTTCTTGAAAAGGCCATAACTCAAAAATTATTTGTTGGAATCAGCTCAAACTTTCTACACAGCATAAGTATATCAATATGTATCAGAAAATGTAATAAAAATGGGGGGTGATTTCGGAGCCATTTTTCAGAAAAAACCATGGGCTATAGCCTTGGGTATTTTTCAAAATTTTGGCATTTTCTTAAAATGGTCGTAACTTGAAAAATTTAAGTTGGAATCACCTCAAACTTTCTACACAGCATAAGGACATCAATATGTATCAGAAAATGTAATAAAAATTTGGAGTGATTTTGGAGCCATTTTTTGGAAATACACATGTACTACAGTGCCATTAATTAACAATAATTAATTACTGCTAACCAAAAAGCTTTTATCAATAGTCCCGGACGGTGTCACTGTCCTTATTCTAACAACGAGGTCTTCAATATTTCCATATTTGTTTTTCTTCATTCCAGAGGACCTTGTCGCTACCCATCCACCAAGAGTACTAAACTCCTGTGAGTCTGGCTCATGTCCTGAGGTATATCCCCTCTCTGCCAGCTAATGGTGAAAAGGGACACTAGTAAGAGCTGGGTACATTGAGTATAATACTAAGAGAATTTAATGTTTCAAAATGGAGAAATATAATGTGTATATAAAGCAATGACCAATATTAGTATTGGTAGAAGAGTTTTCACAAAAAAATCCAAATTCCAATACATAAAATTTAATACACGTAAAATGACTTATAAAAAATGTCAATTGTGTTTTTTTTTTCAAAGAAATTGCTAGTACGAGTATTATAACCTTTCTCTCCAGGTCTTGTCCCACTATGCCGGCCTCAACGTGTGCAGTTAAATTATCTTCGTCAATCCAGAGGATCTTATCCATTTCAGTCATGTCTAGAGATATGATGGGACGCCTCTCGTCACTTGGACACTCTAAAGCACCTGAAACATTAGTACCACCTGTACGGGAATGAAAAATAAATAACAACATAATTAATGAAAGAGGAGTGATAATAATAATAATAATAATAATAATAATAATAATAATAATAATAATAATAATAATAATAATAATAATAATAATAATAATAATAATAATAATCAATAATAAATTAATAAGCAAAAAATTGAATGAATAGAATCATCACTTTTTGAGCAAATTTTCCAAAAATGCAAATGCCATAAATTATTATTATTCTATATTACAATAATTAGTTATTTTACAAACAAATCAAATACACTGACTGAGTATTAATTACCACTCACCTCCAAACGGTATGATGCATATATTATGAAGAGAAGCCAATTGAACTATCTTTGCTACATGATCGTGACAACCTACAAAAATAGCAATGAAACTTTTTCGAGTGAATTATCAATTAATTTTTTGAGTCTGAGTATAGCTGTGTAGCTATTTATATACTGACCTGGCCACACTACGGCATCGACAAGTCTTATATCAATTTTACCACTTCTCAAAATGAACAACTCATGACAAGTGTGACCTATAGAAACATGAATAGGCAGGTCAAACTTTAAAACAACTTAAAAATTCATTAAAAAATCTCCAAACTTGATCTGAATCTGCTCAAACATTCTATGCAACATAAGAACATGTATATGCATCAAAAAAGGTATAAGAATTCCTCTTTTTTGGAGAAGAACACAAAATGTTATTTTTTACCATGTGAATGGAAGAGCCTGTCATCAGCATCGGTTGATATGGCAACAGAGTGAGGGCGGACAGCTTCGATAAATGAAGGACAAGGCATTGGAGGAGGAAGATCAGCTGGAGAAGGAGGGGGCTAGGAGAGAGAGAGAGAGAGGGAGAGAGAAAGAAAGAGAGGATCTGTTAAAATAAAAGTATTGTATACTTACTTGCGAGAAAGCTGTTTGTGTTCTATCAAAACCTAGTTTCTGCTCCATCCACGGTATCACTAAAGGCAGTACTAGCCCATTCAATGGATACCTATAAACACATGAACAATATGCACATGTACTACCATCCACATTGGAGAACAGCTACTACTTTTATTAAGACAATCAATGCATCTCTCCTTAATAATGTGTCATACATCATGAGCTGTAAAGTATTAGTTATTTGGAGGTAACTACCTACCTTGGCCCAGTGAAGAAAGCAACTCCTTTATCATTGAGATAGAACCCAGAATCCTTATAGCCCCAACCATTCCAGCTTAATATCTCAAGTCTATTATGCAAATATTATTAATCTATTATCATAATTATAATACTAGTTGACCTTTTTCTTGGAAAGGCTTTCTGTATCTCTGTCTTTTTGCTGGAAATTGGGGCACTAGCTTCTATAGAGCCGCACTTATTCAACTGGATCTGTACGGAGAGTGGATTGTTCGTAAAACATTATACACTAATACCTCAGGTTTCCTTAAATGGCCTTGCAGAACACTCAGCCTTCTTGCTGAAGGGTCATCCATATTATTGCATATCACTAACTACTAGCCACACCCTCTTTACACGTGGGTTTGTACGCATGCGCAGATTTAAAACTAGGGATGTCCGTATACTTCAACCACGTGCAAGCACGTGGGAGCTGAACACAAGAAAGCTAATGCAATTGCAGCAAACGACTTTCTTTATAAAACTAAAAAATGGTAGCAAATACCAAATAAGAGAGAGATATACTGAATGAGTTTAGTTAATGATGCTGGGTTGAAAGTTCACTGAGAGTGTGGATGAAATGAAATGTGTGTAGTATGCATGCATTGGTACTATAAAAATACTAAAATTTGTTTCTAATAATAATATTTTAATAATAATAATATTTAATAAGAGTTTTGATCTCGTGATGATAAGTGTGAGTGATATAATGAAAGGGGGAGGGAGGACGTTGAACGAGTGCTCGATCATTTAGTGAAAGTGGTTCCTCTAGCAGGTGTAAGTAGGGAAGGTCTGATTCCACGCAGTCGTAGCTACCGGAGGACTGGAGTTTGAAGGAGGGGGAGTCAAAGATGCACCTGTAATTAAAAAAATAAAAAATAAACAAATAGAAAAATTCATCATATTTACATCAATTGCTAGGAGATTATACAACTGTTATTCTGAAGTGATAAAAGCGAGTTGGTTCTTACCAAATGGCTCTTGGTTAGGTGAGTTAGTAGTCCCTGGCCTCATGCTAGGAGGAGGAGGGGCAGCAG